GAATTTTATTATCATAAAAATACATTTCATATAATTAACATAATAACATTCTAAATCAATAATAATTTAAAGAGATACACACATATTATCATAAAACAAACATCCTAAATTAATTAACATAATAACATTCGAAATGAATAATAATTTAAAGAGATACATTCATATTATCGTAAAACAAACATACTAAATTAATTAACATAAATAACATTGTAAATGAATAATAATTTAAAAACGTACTTATTCAAATGTTTGAAATTAATAAAATTTATTTTGTACACATAAAAATAAATCGTATTGAAAGGTTATTATAATTTCAAAATTATCAATATGCCTCTGTTAAGGATCTTAGTATTCTAAATAACATACATACGACTTAAGAGATTGTTCAAAGCTATAACAGAAAAAGGATATCTTTTACGAGTTCTATGAAAATTGATCCCATGAAGGCCTTTGACTCAATTGACTGGACTTTTATGTTGTTGGTTATGAGATTGATGAACTTTCCGAACACATTTATTAGTTGGATCCAAATCTATTTAAGCTCAGCTTACTTGAGCATCTCTATTCATGGTAGCTTATTTGGTTTCTTTCAAGCTAAGAAAGGTGTTAGACAAGAGGACCCCTTGTCGCCCTATCTCTTCACAATCATAATGCAGATCCTCTTTGTAATGATTGATAAGACTGTACAAACCAATATGTCACCTCACCATCCTCAGTGCAAAAATATAGGGCACACTCATTTATGTTTTGCAGATGGTTTCATGATTTTTACGGAGGGGCATGATTATGCTTTGAGCTGTGTGAAGAAGATTTTACATAAGTTCTCTGTTTTATCTAGTGTGCAGCAATCCAAACAAATGTGAGGTATTCTTTGGGGTTCTTCAGTTGATTTTAAGGTAAATGCAGTTAGGGTCACTAGGTTCAAGGAAGGGAAACTTCATGTTCGTTATTTGGTTCTTCCTCTTATTTCAGTGAGGCTTTCTAGCAAGGAATGTGATTTGTTAGACGACAAAATTACTATTAGAATTTGTTCCAGGAAAGCTAGTAACTTAACTTATGTTGGGAAGTTGAAGATTATTTCATTTGTGTTACTATCACTGGTATAATACAAGATATACATCTTTGTTCTGTCGAAGAAAGTGATCACTACAATTGAGAAAGTTCGCTCTCATTTTCTCTGGTTTGGGTAAGGCAAAAGTTGCTCGGGAGAATGTTGCTACTCCTCAAAGAAGGCAGTTAGGTCTCAAAGACTTAACCACTTGGAATGTTGCTTGTTTTACAAGGCTTATCTAGGGGCCTGGATCCATCGTTATAGATTCAGGGGGAGTTTTTCTAGGTGATAAAGGAAATTGCTACAAATTCTCAGTTATATGAGAAGATTACTGAAGTTGAGATGTTAGTTTCGTATAGACTGGATATGGTTAATGGAGTGACTACTTGGGATGGAAAACCACTGGGTAAATTCTCTGTGAACCTTATCTTCAAGTCTATCATATCTAAACTACCACATGTCAACTGGTGGCAGCTTCTCTGGGGTAATTATTTCATACCAAAAAATAGCTTCATCACTTGGTTAGTTGTCTTAAACAGAATCTACACAAGGGACAGGCTTTGTGAATGGGGAGATTGTGGATGATAGTTGTGACTGTCTACTGTGTGATTCTACTGCAAAGACGAGAGTCGAGAGATCATATGTTTTGCAGTTGTTCTTACAAAAACTCACTTTGTGGCAATTGTGTTTGGGTCCCTTTACAAAACTTTATCAAATTCTTAGGAGAGTACCATTCCAGGTTGAGTGCTCTGACAAAATCTAGGAAGGCAGTTGGAAGAGCGAGTAGTGTTATTTGGTGTAAGATTGTTGCTATGTTATGGAAGGAAAGATGCAATGCAGTGTTTAGTTTTCCTGGAAGACCCTGACAAAATTATTCTCATGACATTAAATGAATGAACTAGTACATATTTATAGGTATAAAATTGTTAGAAGTGTAGGTACCAATTTGTAATTGTACAAATAAGTAACGTAAGATGGAGTTAGGGTTGTAGGTTGGCCGTGTATATATATGTTGTGATCGCTGACCTACGTAAGAACACAGTGAATAAGATCGATCTCTGCCTTGTGACGTGGACTAGTCTTGACGATTCTCGTCAAGGAAACCACGTAAATCTGTGTCTCTTCTCTCTCGTATTTGTGTTTATATTATTCTCATGGTATCAGAGCCTCAGGATTCTTGATCGAGTTTGAAGTTTTGGGTTTCGCGGCTTCGTGTGTTTATTTGGCTCTTCGTGTGTACGTTTGGCTTTTGTCGAGTGGCCGCCTATTGTGCAGCGCTACTAGGAATTTCAGCGCTACTGGGAATTTCAGGTATCTCTTTTCGGCTGTGTCTTTCTTTTGGGGATTGTTCTTCTGTTGCTGCGGGTCGGTTGCTGAGTGTTGTTGCGTCTGTTGTTGCGCATTTGTCACTGCGTGTGCTTGTTCTTGTTGTTGGGAGGTCTTGTTCGGCGATCATGGAGGGTTTAAAATTGGATGTTGTGGGGTTTTGTTTTAACGGGAAGAACTATTCACATTGGGAGTTTCAATTCAGGCTCCATGTGCAAGGGCGCCGCCTGTTCTCATTTCTGGACGGGACTGCTCCTCCACCCGCGACTGATGCCGCTGCTAAGGAGCAAGAGAGAGCTAGCTCGCGCGTGATGCACTTTCTAATGAATCTCCGGGCTGAGTTTGAGGGGATTCGTGCATCCCTACTTCATCATAATATATCTACCATTGAGGGTGTCTTACCGGAGCTTCTGCGCGATGATAGCTGGTCTCGTGCAGAGTGAGAATGATCCATCACTCTTTCTTCGGTCAACTAGTAGAGGTCTTACGGTACTTATGATCTATGTGGACGACATGGTGGTGACTGGTGATAATAGTGTTGGTATTGAAGACTTATTACTGGTCTTGCGCTCAACATTTAATCTCAAAAAACTTGGGGATCTTTCTTACTTCCTTGGATTGGAAATTCATTGTTCCTCCTGAAGGTCTACATGTTGGCCAAAGAAAGTATATTGTAGATTTACTTGAGGAAGCTCATATGGATGATTGTCTCGCCTGTAATACACCCATGGAGCATAATCTTAAACTACAGCAGTTAAAGGGTGAATTACTACCAGATGGTTCACTATATCGGAGTATTGTGGGAAGTCTTATCTATCTGACACATACTAGACCTGATATATCGTATCCTGTACAGGTTGTGAGTCAATTCATGTCGACTCCAAGCAAACCGCACTGGATGGTTGTTTAGAGGATTCTGAGTTACTTGCGTGGTACTCAGGAGGTCAGATTATTATTTCCAACTGAAGGGGAGCCAATCCTTGAAGCTTATTCAGATGCTGACTATGCGGGTTGCCAAGACACTCGTTGTTCTAATTCTGGCTGGTGCATTAAGATTGGTAATTCATTTATCTCTTGGCGGTGTAAGAAACAGGATCAGGTATCCAAGTCATCTACTGAAGTTGAATACCGGTCCATGAGCGAAGTCTCCTCTGAAATTGTTTGGCTACGTAGGCTATTGGCAGAGCTTGGAGTTATTTGTCAGGGTCCAATTCGGTTGTTTGTTGACAATACAAGTGCATTTCGTATTGCAACTAATCCGGTGTTACACAACAGGACAAAGCATATTGAAGTGCACGTTCATTATATTCATCAGCTTGTAGCTGAAGGAAATGTGGATCTCACTTACATCACTTCCAAAGACCAGACTGCTGATCTGTTGACTAAGGCAGTGCTACTCCTCGTCACTGGTTCCTAGCACACAATTTGATGTTGCGTCAGCTACATCAATTTGAGGGAGGGTGTTAGAAGTGTAGGTACCAATTTGTAATTGTACAAATAAGTGACGTAAGATGGAGTTATGGTTGTAGGTTGGCCTTGTATATATATATGTTGTGATGGCTGACCTACGTAAGAACACAGTGAATAAGATCGATCTCTGCCTTGTGCCGTGGACTAGTCTTGACGATTCTCGACAAGGAAACCACGTAAATTTGTGTCTCTTTTCTCTCGTATTTGTGTTTGTATTTTCTTGTCGACAAGCATTGGTGCTTTAATGTACAACTTAAAGTTGTACCATAACGTTAAATGTACAAGTTCAGATTGTACCATAAAGGAATTTGTACCCTTATGTTATGGTACAACTTTACAACTTAAAGTTGTACCATTACATAAAGGTACAAGTTCAAGTTGTACCATAAAAGAATTTGTACAAACAGTATAGGTACAATCAGAAGTTGTATCATCCAATACTATATAGCATTATAAAATTCCTCCAAATATAAGACTTCAATGTGTATAAAAAAAGGGTTAATATTTTCGTATGACCTGAACTTTGACCAAAATAAACATCCTGGCCAATCTTTTCGATCTATAACATCCTGACCCGAACTATACACCAAAATAAATAATTTGGCCAGATCCGACTTTTGACCGTTAACTTGGACGGTCAAACGCGTTGATTGTTAGTCAACGCGCCATGTCACTGCCAAGTCATCATAAAATATTTAAAATAATTTACAATTTCCACACATTCCCTAATTTTAAATTATTATAAATTAAAAAAAATCATCTAATACCTTAGTTAAACCAAAAATAAAAAATGAAAAAATTAAATATTTATCCGAACTTCTGACTTGGCAGTGACGTGGTGCGTTGACCGTTAGTCAACGTGTTTGACCGTCCAAGTTAACGGTCAAACATCGGGATTGGCCAAATTGTTTATTTTGGTGTATAGTTCGGGCCAGTATGTTATAGATCGAAAAGATTGGCCAGAATGTTTATTTTGGTCAAAGTTCAGGCCAGACGAAAATATTAACCCATAAAAAAACAAAGCACCAATTAAAGCATGTAAAATTCCTAAAAAAAAAAAAGCATGTAAAATTCCTTTTACGAAAAAAAAAAATAACATGTAAAATTCCTAATCCAAAAAGGACCCATTTATTCATTCCCTCAAATAATCTCGCAAATCGGCGTTGTGCCACGGATGACATAAATCAAATCAAAACCCAGCCAGCCCTAATTCCCTGCCTCTCTCTCTCAAAAGCCCTAAAAATGCCTAGACCAGCTTCGATCATCGAATTTCCCGATCGAAGTTATCGGCCGGATCGCCAAAACGGCCGGCGCACGCCTGAATCCGACTCTTCGCCTGTGTATCGCCGTCGCAGCCCTTCCTACAACAGGTACGACGAGCGCCATAGGGAGACGGATCGAGGACGCAGCCGCCGCTCGATATCTCCCGCTCATCGAAGCCCTAGGAGAAGCCCTAGTCCCAGAAGAAGGAGAAGCCCGAGCCCTTGGGCTAAAGAAAACCTAGATTCTCTCCCGAAGAAGTTTGGCCGCAGCGATGGTGGTGGCTACCGGAACGGAAGGGATGTGGAATCTGAGTCCGACGAGGAATTGAAGGATTTGACCTTTGAGGAGAAGAGGAGGCTGAAGAGGCAGAAGCTTAGGAAGTCGCTGAGTTACTGTATTTGGGAGGTTACCCCGAGCCCGCCGAGGGACGAGAACGAGACGGATGAGGAAGAGATGGAACGGAGGGGAGATGGTAGCTCGGACAAGCGCGGCATGGAGGAAAGCAAGAACGATTCCAGTGGGAAAGAGAAATTGGGAGATGTGAAAGGCAAATCGGAGACTGAGTCGGGGGATTCTGGAAGTAGCGCGTCTGAATCCGACTCCGACGATTCCCGTTCGAGAAAGAAGAAGAAGAGCTCGAAATCCAAGCGCAGAAGAGGTAAGGAATCCGATATCTCTCCTGGGAGTGAATCGGAAGATTTAAAGTCGAGGAAGAAGAAACGCAGTTCGAGTTCTAAGCGTAGGAGAACTAAGTCACCTATGGATAGCAACAGTGAATCCGACGAGGATGTGGGTGAGAGTGCAAGCGATTCTGAAGAGGAGAAGCAGCGACGCCGGAGAAAGAAGTCATCCAAGAAGAGCAAGAGCAGCAGAAAGAGCCGTAGAAGCAGAAGAAGTCGGAGGAAGGGTAAGCATTCTGATTCTGATAGCGAGAGTAATGATTCCGATGAGAGCAATGAAAAGTCCAAGTCGAAGAAGCGGAAACACAGATCAGGTTCACGTGCTAAACTCTCCAAGAAGATGAGAACATCTGAATCCGAGGGTGAAAGTGCGGATTCTGATGTGAATATGGATTCTGAAATTGATACCAAGAGCCAACCAATAGTTGCAGATGAGGATGCTATAACAGCTGAATTGAATGCTGAAGCTCTGATGTTCAAAGAACTGATCGAGGCCCAAAAGAAACCTGCTTTGGACAGTGAACCTGCTGTTGGCCCAATGCCTTTGCCTAGAGCTGAGGGGCACATTAGCTATGGTGGTGCTTTGAGACCTGGTGAAGGTGATGCCATTGCGCAGTATGTGCAGCAAGGGAAGCGTATCCCAAGAAGAGGTGAGGTGGGTCTCTCTGCTGATGAGATTCAAAAGTTCGAGGGTCTAGGGTATGTGATGAGTGGTAGCAGGCACCAGAGGATGAATGCAATTCGTATCAGGAAAGAAAACCAGGTGTACAGTGCTGAAGACAAGCGTGCTTTGGCCATGTTTAACTATGAAGAGAAAGCGAAACGCGAGCACAAGGTTATGGCTGATTTGCAGCGTTTGGTCCAGCGCCATATTGGACAGGATGTGGGTCCGACACACGATCCATTTGGTGCAAAAGGATCTGATGAAGATGCTTGAGCATATGAGAGGTGTACTCTTTCTGTGGTACTTGTTCCATGTCGTTTTTGAAATCTGTATGATTACGGTTCTGAAAGAATATAGTAGCCTTTCTAAGAATGATTCAGTTCTGTATTGGATGATTTGCAGAAATTTTTCTAATTTTGAACTATGTTTGATCTTTTAGTTTGACTTTATGTCTCTTTGGTAATGATTTGATCGATGAAATTGCTCTTCATAGTTACTGGTATGTGAATGGCTAAGTGTGCAGTGGATAGAAGACCAATCACGCCCTTTGGATGGCAGTGGTTGTCAAGTTAAAACTCATGTTGCTGCAGCTGTTGAGCTAGCTTTCGGCTTGTAGTATTGAATGAATCTTTTATGACATATGTTTGCTTGCATTCTTAGTCTCTTTGAAACAGGGCCGGTAAGCTTATATTGATATGCCTGGAAGATTGTCTACTGCTGTGAGCTGCTGGTTGTAGCTTGCTCGTTTGCATATTCCTACTCGCAGTAGTCATTTAGCAGAGATGTCATTCTTTGGGGATGACATATTTAATGGCAGCAAGTATTAGGTCAGGTGTTGTAAGTGCAATTGTGCTTGCGTATGCTATATTTCCTGTTTTTTGTATTCTTGACGGGCTTCACACAGCATGTGCTTTTGGTTGATGGTGTTTAGCCATTCTAATAGTTGTTGGGGGGAGTTGGTCTAGTTATAGGGCTTACAGGAAAGTTGATATTTTGTTTCTACTGCTGGTAACTTCTCCTTGGTCAGCTGTTGCTTTTTCCCAATCGTGAGTAGCATTCTTCACGAATCAAAGCTAGTGAACATTGAAAATGGATCGTTTAGTTCTTTGGTTTCTTTGGGAGAGATGTGCAATTGTGCAAAAGTCTATTGTTCTGTTTATTGGCAGAGTTTTCGTCCGTCATTTGATCAGCTTCTTGCCCTGTACCTGCAATAGCGTAGTCCAGGGGAACATGAGTCTCTTGTGGTCTGCACCACTTGGAAGAGCAAGTATCCTGGAAAACCAGACTGAAGATTCTGATCAGGCAGATATAAAGACTCAAGACCTGAGATTTTTATTATTAACTCAATGTTTATATAGTACAATGTAACAGAGTGTGCAACGGAAGGAAAGTAACAGAAAGAGTGAAAGCTGGAGAGAAAGGTGGAGTACAACGTTCCACAGTTAACAGATAACAAGAAGCCTAAAAGGCTGGAAGCAGGTACACTTCATCACCTCCCCGTAAGTTGAGGCTCGGAGAGTCGAAACTTGGAGCAGAACTTGATGAAGGCTGTCGAGGTAATGGTTTAGTGAGGACATCTGCAAGCTGATCGGGAGCCGGTAGAAAATGCACATGAAGCTGCCCTTTGTTGACTTGATCACACACAAAGTGGAACTCGATTTCCATATGCTTCGACCGATTGTGGAACACTGGATTATGAGCAAGGAAAGTGGCCTCTAAGTTGTCACACCAAAGAGCTGGAGCTGAGGGTAGCTGCTGTCCTAATTCAGTGAGTAAGGACTGTAACCAGAGGACCTCCGAAGCAAGAGTAGCAAGAGCACGATATTCACATTCGGTAGATGAGCGTGCAACGGACTTTTGTTTCCTTGTAGACCAGGAAACCAGATTGGATCCGCAGAATACAGCGAACCCAGTGACAGACTTGCGATCCTGTGGGCAAGATGCCCAAGAGGCATCTGAGTAGCCATGAACATGAAGAGATGAAGATTTGGTGATGACTAGGCCACGGTCGATAGTACCTTTCAAGTATCATAGAATCCGTTTGACAGCGGCCAAATGATTATCCGTCGGAGAGTGTTGAAATTGAGAAACATGATTCACCGCAAATGCAACGTCGGGGCGAGTAAAACTGAGATACTGCAGACCACCGACTATACTGCGATACATAGCTGGATCTGTGAACAGAGGGGAAGAGGACATGGCGGACTGCTGAACAATCTCATTTGTGCAGGGTGTGGAGATTGCATTCGCCTCGGACATATGAGCACGTTCAAGTAAATCCTGTATGAATTTGCGCTGCCGAAGAAGAATACCAGTGGGCGTGCGACACACTTCAATGCCAAGGAAATAGGATAGAGGGCCCAACTCACGAAGGGCAAAGTTGTCGCGGAGAAATGTGAACAGCTTCTGTATGAAAGTGGAATCATTGCCTGTGATGACTATGTCATCGACATAGACGAGCATATAAACCCGAGTTGGACCAGTCTTATAGATGAACAAAGACGGATCAGTTCTGGAAACAGAGAATCCGAATCGGGTAAGTGCGGCAGCAAGACAGCTAAACCATGTTCGAGGCGCCTGACGGAGACCGTAAATCGATTTTCGCAGACGACATACATAATCGGGCTTGTTGGGATCGACAAAGCCAGCTGGCTGCTGCATATAGACTGTTTCCTGCAGGTGACCATGAAGGAACGCATTTGCGATATCAATCTGATGGAGAGGCCATCCTTGAGTTACCGCCAGACCAAGAATTAGGCGAAGCGTTGCAGGCTTGAGAACAGGGCTGTATGTTTGTTGAAAATCTAGGCCCGGAATATGCTCATAACCACGAGAAACCAAGCGAGCACGGCGACGATCCAACGAACTAGTAGGGTGAAGTTTGGTGCGGTAGACCCACTTGTTGGAGAGGATATTGCAGTTGGGTGGCGGGGGGACCAAGTCCCAGGTGCGGTTGCGTTGCTGCGCATCGAATTCCTCTTGCATAGCTGAGTGCCAGAGTGGGTTCTTGAGAGCCTGTTTGACAGAAGTGGGAGTGTCATCGATGTGGAGGGTAGAGAGAAAGGTCTTGGGTTTTAGGTTTCCTGTTTTGATTCGGGTTACCATGGGATGGTTGGAGCTCGTGGGGTGGGTAACAGTGAGCAGTCTAGGAGAGGTGGAAAATGAAGGGCGATCTGAGATTGGGTGGCGAGGGGGCAGGGGTGTTAGTGTTTGGCGAGAGGGAGGGTTTGAGGACGAGGGAGATGGAAGGATGGTAGATGGAGAGGGCGGGTCAGTTTGGGCTTGATGGCTGGACTGGTGTGAGGAGGAGGAATGGGGAAGTGGAGCCGAGGGCGAGTGCTGGATAGCTGCAGATGGGGGAGAGGGGATAATCGTTTTAGGGCGGGGAGGTTGGGCGGTGGCAGAACGGCAGCGCGTGTATTGAAGAAGAGGGAGAGGTGTGGGGGAAGAGGTCGTTGTATCGGGCTGGGTGGCTTTGGATGGTGGCTGTGGGAGGGTTGTAGGAGAGGGATGATTTGGGCTGGGAATGGTATCTATAATGGGCTTGGAGATGGCAGGGGGTGATGGGCCAGGAAGAGCTGCAGGTGGAGGGGGAAGCAAAATGGGTTGGTAGGTAGAACGAGTGGGTAAAGATGGAGAGGGGGAAGTCAACTCGGCAAACGGAAAACGAGCTTCATCAAATAAAACATGGCGACTAACATAGATCCGACCAGTGGGAATGTGAAGGCAACGATAAACCTTGTGAAGTTTGCTATACCCAAGAAAAACACACGGAACAGAGCGAGGAGCCAATTTGTTGGGAGTGAGCGGACGAAGCCAAGGGTAGCAGAGACACTCAAAGACTCTAAGATTAGCGATATCGGGGGCGCGATGAAAAAGAAAATGAAATGGCGAATCATGAGCAAGAAGCGGAGTAGGAGTACGATTGATTAGATAACAAGCTGTGTCGAAAGCAAGAGGCCAGTATTTCAAGGGTACACTGGAGTGATGGAGAAGAGCAAGACCGTTATTAACGATATGACGATGTTTACGTTCGGCGCACCCGTTTTGTTCAGGGGTATAAGGACACGAAGAGCGATGAGCAATGCCATTTTGGACAAGATAAGTGGATAGAGCTTGATATTCGCCACCCCAGTCTGATTGAAAGGTTTTAATGGGGAGGCCAAAAAAAATTTCCACTGATTGCCGAAATTGAATAAACACATTAAGCAATTGTGATTTATAACGAATAAAATAAATCCACGAGAATTTGCTATAATGATCATAGAAAAGAATATAATAGGATTTCTCATCGTACGACAAAATAGGAGCAGGACCCCGTACATCACTACAGACGAGTTCGAGAGGGGCTTGAGCAGTGAACGTGGAAGCAGGAAAAAGGGAGTTTGTGGATTTTACTGACTGCACAGCCATGACACAAAGAAGGAGGTGATTGTTCGAATTTTATTTGATGATGGTGAAGGATTTGTTTGACCGCACGTTCGTGAGCATGCCCAAGCCGACGATGCCAAGTTTCATACGAAGCCACACAAGCAATAGGGGAAAGGGGCCGAGAAATAGTGAGAGGAAGTGAGTAAAGACCGTCCACGGCAAAGCCACGATGAAGTTCACGCCCCGTGCGTCGGTCCTTGATGAGAAACAGAGAGTCAAAAAATTCAATCGAGATAGGATTAGAACGAGTGAGAGAGCTAATGGAGAGAAGATTATAGGGAGCACCACGCACATGCAGAATATTATCCAAAGAAATTGAAGTATTGGATAAAGAAGTCGAGGAGGATCCAAAACGAGAGATGGGAAGAGAGTTACCGTTGACAAAAGTCACTTGGTCAGTCCCGTTGTACTCAGAATGATGAGCAAGATTGTCCAATTCCAAGGTGAGATGATGATTCGTCCCCGAATCCAAAATCCATTGGTGAGAATCAAAGGGCTGAACAGGCGAGGATGAAAAAAGGGTGTGTGGGCCAGCAGGAGATCGAGATGGGCGGGGATGAGTGGGCTGGACAGGTTGGGCCGAGGAAGAATGCTGATTAATCAATGGGCTGGGGCAGTGAGGTTTTATGTGACCTCTTCCTCCACAGTTGTAACAGACCAGACCACCAGTGGGCCGAGGCCCAAGAACCCCACTCGCTCGGCTTGACCTGCCAAAGGAATCAAACGAAACAGAAGGGTTAGAATAATAGCGCATCCGACCATTGCCGCGGCCTCTGCCACGGTCGTCTCTGCCGCGGATTCCACCAGCGCCGGAGAAGAAAGTCGATGGTGCTGGAGAGTCGGAGTGAGAAGCATAGCGTTGAATTTGCAGTTCTTCACTGAGGAGAAGGGAATGGAGATTTTCGAAACTGATGGGTTCCAGCCTGCCTCGATGTGGCGCACGAACGGCCGATAATCTTCACCCAGGCCATTGAGGATCCAAGCAGTGAGGTCTTCGTTTTTGACAGGAGATCCTAGGGCCGCCAATTGATCCGCCTTGGTTTTGGCATTTTGAAGGTAGTCATGGATGCTGGCATCGCCGCGACGGAGGGTTTGGAGTGTCTTGATGAGCTGCCGAATCTGAATTTGCGAACCAGAGGCGTAGATGGTGGCAAGAGCTGACCACGCATCAAACGCTGTGGCTTTGTTGATGATGTTGGGCATTACGGAT